TCTATCTATCTATCTATCTATCTATCAATCTATCTATCTATCATCTATCAAGGAATATTACTCAGCCATAAAAAAGAATGAAATTTTGCCATTTGCATCAACATGGATAGAGGTAGAGAGTATAATGCTAAGAGAAGGAAGTCAGTCAGAGAAAGACAAATATCATAAGATTTCACTCATGTGGAATTTAAGAAACAAAACAAATGAGTAAAGGGAAAAAAAGAGAGAGAGAGAGAAACCAAGAAACAAACTCTTAACTATAGAGAATAAACTGATGGTTACCAGAGGGGAGGTGGGGGGAGGGATGGGTGAAATAGGTGATAGGGATTTAAGAGTACACTTATCATGATGAAGAAAGAGAGAGAGAAAGAGAAAGAAAGCGAGCAAGCATGGCTATAGGTCTCTCACAGATTTGGGACAGATTCTTGGCTCTGCCTCTGACTAGTTATGTGACTCTCTTCTAAGCCTCACTTTCCTCATCTGGAGGTGATAGTCTCTGACTTTCCTGCCTCCTAGAGCTATTGTGAGGATATCATGATGCAAAATCCTTTTGTAAAAATAAAGTGTTTTGCAGACTGTTTAATGTTGTGGTTAAAGAGCTGGACAAACTGGGTTCAAATATAATTGTTGAAGAACAGTTAGGAGTCTTTAGACAAATATTTCTCTGGCCTTTAGTTTCTTCCTGTGCAAAATAAGGGCTTTCGACTAGGCGATCACTAAGACTCCTTCCTTCTGAGATGTTGGTGTCACATGACACAAACACCAGGTTTCCTCACTCATGTCCTGGCCTGTCTGCTATGAGAGTTAGAGAGAAATCATACAGCACAGTAGCACAGGGAGTGTATTATTTGAGTTTAATTAATGGTAACTACTATTGGCGCCATCCAAAGGCAAGAGGTAAGATTTGAATTCAGGTTTGACTGGTTGACCACAAAGCCAATGCTTTTTTCCTGCACCAAGCTGTTACCTTTCAGCCCCTTTACCTGGAGTAAAAGCAAGGGGAGGCAGTATGGCAGCACAGAAGAAAGCAATGGGCTTGCCAGTCAGTCCCATGTGACCTCCAGGCTCTGCTCTGCTCTTACTTGCTGTATGATCTTGAGTGAGTCACCTATCCTCCTCAAAACAAACACAACAGAACCAGGTTAAATTCAGATTTCTCCACTCCAAAGCTTAAGCTATTAACCACTACTATACTAGAAAAAGGAAAAAGGATTAAGATTAAACTTAGCAACTCTACATTCAAATACCACCTCTGCCACATTCTAGCTTTCCTAAACTATTAAGGGCAAGTTACTTCATCATCCTGAGCCTTGGTATACTCATTTGTAAAATTGGGAAAGTGACAGATACCCTTCCCAAGGTTCCAAGAGAATCAAAGCATTTAGTACAAAATCTGAAAGCTGCTTATAGCAGAAAGATATACATTAATCTTGAATTAAATTGAATTGAACTTCATACAAGGAGACTGGAATCATAGTATTTTAGGCCATAGTTTGAATATGAAGGGATCTTGGAAGTCACCACCTTCAGGTTCATTAACCAGCAAATTCTCTTTGCCTCTTACTCATGTCCTCATTTGTCTCACCATCCCATGACTTGGATTGTAGCATAGATTCTCTCTTCCTTTCTGTGCTTCCTTCCATTTGAGTTTTGAGGTCAAAACAATTACAATAACTGTAATACTTTCCCAGTATGCCCTATAATTTTATTGGGAACACTGACAGTGATATGGATGGTCCACCCTCCCTCCCAGGGCAGAAATCCTCTCCACTTTCTCCCTGACAGGTGGACATCCTCTTTCTACTGAGGCAGCTCCAGAACTCATCACATGCTGAGAGTCCCTCAATGCTGGATAGGTTCTATTTATAGGACACACTGTATAAAACTAAAGGAAATTGTTAAAAATTGTTACCAAGCTCAAAGTTTTCAACTTTTATTTGAAGGCCAGGTGGCACAGTGAGGAAAGTGATAGGTAGACAATCATTCCCATGTGGGCTCCAGGCTCTGCTATGCACTTACTTGCTGTATGATTTGTGACAAGTCATATATCTTCTTGTATTTCTATTTCCCCATTTGAAAGACTGTGAATAATAATCTTCATTTTATATAGAGTAGTGAGAGATATCAGTCTACCTGTTTTTTAAAATAAAATTTGATTCATATAACTGATAAGTGAAGCAGACAAAAGTACATTTGCTCTGGTGGAAATAAGAGAGAACAGCCTGCATTTTCACTGAGTTTTCTCCTTGACCTATGTAAGAACTCTCCAGGCAGCACAGGGTGAAAATTATCTAGAGTAGATAACCTTGCTGTGTTCTGTGTGAAGAAATGGTGGCACACAGAGATTAAGTGAGCTACTAGAAGACCCAGAGATGAAATATAGACTCAGGTCCATGTTATTCCCATCCCACTGCCCTATTTCTAGTTCCACATTTCCTCAGGTTACATTATTCATTCTGGAATATGATTTTTAGAGTTTTTCCTTTTGTTACACATTCAAAAAGACCCTCCCCATGTTTCCATCCCAACCCTCATTCAGTCTCTGGGAAACTTCAAATCCTTCTGCACTTGTTGAAATTCTTCAAAATATTCTTATACTTTTTGGGCTTTTTTGTGAAGAGTGGGTTAAGTAATGTGGTTTTAACTTTTTGTTTTGAGATAATTATAGATTCTTTGGATTTTCAAAAATAGTACAGAGAGGTCTTGTGTACCCTTCATCTGGGTTCCCTCAAAGGCTGCATTGTACATAACTATAGTTATGAATAATGAGTAACAATTTCAAAACCAGGAAATTTACATTGCTACAACATGTGTGCATAGTTCTATGCCATTTTCTCACGTGTAATCACCACCACAATCAAGATATAGAACTATTTCACCACTATAAAGATCTCTCAGGTGCTACCCCTTATGATCACATCCACCCCACTATCATTTACCATCCTATATTATATATTATACATAACTTATCACAGCCTATTGGTGTTGAAATTTACCATTTTGAGGTAAGTGCAAAACTTTTAAGTCCCTTTACCTATTTAACCTGTGGAAAGGTTAAATATTTCCTCCACATACATTGAAAACTGCATCAATGTTATAATTATTGTTTCAACATCAAACATAATTTAGAAATAGAGAAAAAGGAGTTTATTGTATTTACCTATTTACTTTTTATGTTATTTCTTTCTTTCTGACATTCCAAGAGTCCTTCTTTTATAATTTTTTTTTCTGTTTTAAGAACTTCATTTTCCCATTCTTTTAGGGGAGGTCTTCTGTTGATGAATACTCTTTCCCTTTGATGAAATTTGTCCTTCTTCAAAATGTCTTGATTTCTTGAAGGATATTTTTGCTGGATATTAGATTCTAAGTTTGCAGTTCTTTTCTTTCAGTACTGAAGAACATTGTGCCACTTTCCTTTGGCCTGTATAGTTTCTGATGTGGAATCTGTTGTGTTCAAATTTATTTTCCCATATAGGTAAGGTGTGATCTCACTGTTTTCAAGATTCTTTCTTTCCTTAGTTTGATTATAATGTTTCTTGGCATGGATTTCCCTCACTTTTTTCCCATTTTGGGTTCACTCATTCTCTTGAATCTGTAGGTTTTTGTCTTTTGCCAAATTTGAGATTTCAGCCATTTAAAACAAATTTTTCACCTCTCCTTCTGGAATTCTAATGATATGAATGTTAGATTTTTGGTCCCACAAGTCCCTGAGGTTCTGTTCATTTTTCTTTTTAGTCTATTTTTTTCTCCATTGTTTAGATCTAGTAACTGCTATTGTTCTCTCCTCGGGTTCATTTATTCTTTTCTCTACTCCCTGCACTCTGCTGTTGATCCCATCTTCAAGTGGATGGTAGAAGTTCAGATTCCTCACGTGGTCTGACATCATGGAGAAGAGGAAAGGATTCATTACTGACTAGCAGGAATGAAATTCCCAGTTCCTTACTTTTCTCTGACACCACCTGGTGGAGGGTTGGAGCAAAGATGGAAGTCTAGGCTCCCCACTCCTCCTTTGTTGGTGAGGGTGGAAGTGGGCAATTTTTTACCATGGTGTTTGGCTAGAGTGGGCAATTACTATTTCCAAAGTCTTCTGTCTTACTGGGCTGACCGCCCCCCCCCTTTGTTGTCTTTTGTTTAGCAAGAATAGGCTTTTGGGAAGACTTGTTTTTTATCTATGCCCATTGGCATTTCTAGGTTTGTGGCTTCTCAAGCAAACATTCTAGCATATATGATGCCAAAATGAAACCCAGGGAACTCACCACTATATCATTTCTCACATCCTGAGAAACTTAGCCAGTCTTCCCTCTTCTCTCCACCTTTCAGGTCTTCTATGTTTGTTTCAAAAGTAATGTATATGGTTTTTAGCTGTACTTAGTGGGAGAGATAGGGAAGAGTGCATCTACTCCATCCCCTCCCAGAATGTCTGTAATGTCTTACCTTTTCTTTTCAATGCAATTATATTTATTTTTGGAAACTCAGTTTTGACACTATACTAATGCCAATATTCTTAAGACACAAGCTCAAATGAGAACAACAACCACAACAACAAAAAACAAAAGGACCATCTTATAGTTCCTAAACTAGTTTTTTTTTTCAATGAGTATTCTTAATGCTGTCCAGATTGCAGTAAAAGTGATAGACAGATCAAAGGTATGATTTTAAATTGGTGCAACATATTTTGAGAGCATGCATACCAGAGCTTATAGTCATCAATCCTGTAATCTCTCTTTTGGGAACTGATTTTAAAAAATAATTTGACAAATCTATCTATCTATCTATCTACCTATCTATCTATCTATCATCTATCTATCATCTATCTATCTATCATCTATCTATCTAATATTTCTACTTTAGAAAAAATATATCAAATAAATTAAAAAACTAAATGCTCACTAATGGAGATATGATAGAGTAAATTATGACATATAAAAACAGTAAACAATTCTCCAACTATGGTATAATGAACACTAGTAGAAAACATGAGAAATTGTTTTGATACAATGTTAAATGAAAAGAACAGAATATAAATGGGTATACATACTTGATTGCTGCTGTGTGAAAACGTGCTTATGGAAACAAAAACTAAAAAAGAATATGTAAAATTAAAACAACTGTTAGGTTTAGCAGAAGGATAATGGATTAATTAATTTATTTAACAAATATTTATTGAGTATGTCATATATACCAAGCACAGTTTGAGGTGCTAAGGATACACAAATGAATACAAAAATGATGAAAATCCCTATTCCCATGGCTTACTTTCTAATAGATGGAGAGACAGCTAACAAAATAAATAGTACATTATAGTTTGCTAGATGGTAATAAGAGTTATACAGAAGAATAAAGCAGGAAGATTAAGTATATGGGGGGCCAAGGGATATAATTTTATTGTAAATGTATGACTTATTTGTTTTTAAATGTGAATCCATTAGTTTATAATTTTTAAATATTATTTTTGTAACAATAGCGTAAAGCCCCATTATTTCAGAAAACACATCTTTAATTTCAAAAGTTTAGTTTCTTTTTTCACAAGGTCAAGACTAAAGATTATCATTAGATTAAGAATAATATAGAGCCAATGCTATTTGTACATAACTATCACTACACTTAATGCAAAAGGGTATTTATTTATTTACTTATTTATTTTAAAGATATTATTTATTTTTTTGACAGAGAGAGACACAGCAAGAGAGGGAACAGAGGCAGGGGGAGTTGGAGAGGGAGAAGCAGGTTTCCCGTGGAGCAGGGAGCCCAATGCAAGGCTCAATCCCAGGACCCTGGGATCATGACCTGAGCCAAAGGCAGATGCTTAACGACTGAGGCACCCAGGTGCCCCTCAAAAGGGTATTTATTATAACTGCCTGTTTACTTGTTGTCTGTCCCATGGACTTGTATCTCTTTCTGAATTTTTGTAGCCAAACTTTTGAAAGAACCATCTATATTTATAGTCTCCATTTCTTTACATTTTCTTCATCCCCCAACTCACTCATTATCTCATACAGCTGGCTTGAACTCCTGCCATGTCACTAGAATGGCAGTCATCAAAGTCTCTAATGATCTCTACATCACTACAAGCATTGGGCATTTTAAGACTTTAATTATCTTTGACCTTTCAGTAGCAATTGGCAGTGTTAGCCACTCCCTCTTTTTTAGAAACGCCCTCTCTTCTTGGTTACATGACACCATACTATCTTGGTTTTCTTCCTACACCTCTGGCCAGTTCCCCTTAACCTCTTTTGTGAGTTTCTCATCCTCTATCCAACTTTTATTTATTTATTTTTGAAGATTTTATTTATTTATTTGACAGAGAGAGACACAGCGAGAGAGGGAACACAAGCAGGTAGAGTGGGAGAGGGAGAGCAGGCTTCCCACGGAGCAGGGAACCCAATGCAGGGCTCGATCCCAGGACTCTGGGATCATGACCCGAGCCGAAGGCAGATGCCTACTGAGCCACCCAGGCGCCCTCTATCCAACTTTTAAATTGAGGGATTTCTCAGAGCCCTGTCCTAATCTTCCCTCTTCAGTCCATACAACCTCCCTGGGAGATGACATCTGCCTGCACCATTCTAGTTATCTACAGGCTGATGATTCCTGAATCTGTACCTCCAGATTCCTCTCTTGGGTCTCTTACCAATACACCCTATTGCCTACTTGATATCTGTACTTGGATATCTCTCAGGCTTTTCTAGCTCTATGTTTCCAAGCCCAAGATCATCATCTCCTCTTTCCAACCAAATCTGCCAAATCTCTTTCCTCTTATAACCCTTGTCTTCAGTAAATAACACCACCAACCCTTCTGTTGTATATGCCAGAAAACCCAGGAGTCATCTAGAACTCCTACCTCTCTTTTGCCCTCTACATCTATTCAATCAAAAGGTTAAATTGATTCAATCTTCTGTTAACCCTCAAATCCACCCACTTGTTTTCATCACTACTGTTACCAGTCCAATCCATCATCAGCTGTAGCCTAAGGTATTGCAAAAAACCTCCAAACAACTGCCCTCCTTCCAAAATATTCACTATTAAGCATTCAGACTGATCTTTCTAAACTGCCATTCTGATCATGCCCTGCTTAATTTCTTCAGTTTCTTTATAGTGCCTTCAGAATCAAGTCCAGCTCTTTACCTTGGCTTACAAAGCTCACCTCAATCTCACTCCTACCTACCTCTCTAGTCACCTTCTCTTTAGAATTTCATGTTCCAATCACATTGCCTTTTCTCATAAAAAATGTAATGTTCTTTCTCATCCCTTTGTTTTCAAACACATTTTATTACTTCACACATATCCCTACTTACTATGATCTCATCTGTTCATCTTTCAGTTCTCAGCATAAGTAACACACCTAACAAAAGGTCTCTTATCCTTGAAGCAGGTTAAGTCTTAAATGCTGAATAGTTTCCACTGCATGCTGAATTCCCCCGTTGTCACAGTTATCACAAGTTACTATATTTACATGTTTGACGCCTAGCCCAGTAGACTATGAGGTTTATGATAAAAGTAATGATATCTCTCCCTATTATTTTGTTCTGATACCTTGCATAATTCCTGGTCTACTGTAACTACTTATAAGGATTTATTGACAGGGAGGGAAGAAGGAAGGAAGGAGAAATGTCAGGAAGAAAAAGAGAGAGAAAGTGAAGGCATAGTTGCTCACCCAATCAGTCTTGAGTGAGTCGGGGAAAAAGGAAAGAAATGGTGAGGGAATTTACTGAATTCATAAACTATTTGAAACTTTTTAAAGTTACCCATTTCACAAGTGTTTCTTATAAAACTGAAAAAACTACTTTGCATTTTATGGTGAGGAAATTGAGGCTTATAAAATAAAAGTCATAGCTCATCATGTTATATCTGCCATCTGGAATTCCATTTCCTTAATTTTGTTCATGTCCAAGTGCACCCAAAGGTTCTCCTTTACTCTCCACAGCCCTAATCATGTAATTTTCTTTCTCTTCTCTAATCCAACAGCATACTTTATTTTAGCATAATACTCTTTATTTTGTACCTATTACTGTTTGTTTCAACTTGTAGAAAATAAAATTTTAAAGAAATAATCCAGATCAGATTATTCATATTATCAGATTCATATTATCACCCCAAGACCTAGCACAAAGTTAGATGTTCAATAAAATTGTGTTAAATGGAAGCCATTTTTGAGATTTAGTCTAATCTCCTCAATCTACTATAATGGACAAGTCAATCAGAAAAGTTATTTCAGATCTACCAAAGGCCAAACAGCAGCATGCAAGTCCCTGCTTCTTTGTGTCCCCTTCTTCCACCTTCCCCGTGCATAGAATATGGGAGGAATAGTAAACTTGAGAGTCCTGAGGTCTCTAACTAATGCTACCACTTACTGTTTGTACAAATATCCTAGACTTAGCTTCTGCTTAAGTAAGAATATAGATTTTGGCTGTCTTGTAATGCCAGTTCCCTGCAGTGCCTATCACAAAACAATTTCAACCTTGGACAATATTAAAAAATATTAATGAATTGCTGCTGCATAAACTTGAGCCTTAACAACCAACACTTCTTAAGAAGTCTAATATGGAAACAGAAGTAGAGTGAACTAAAATAGGCAGAAAATTTCTGAATATTTTAGCTTCTCCGTTTTGGCGCTAGGTATTCTGACTTTATCTCCTCAAGGCAGAACAATCTTGAGTAGCCATATATTTGGACAATGGCTTTTTAGTTGCTTTTTTGTTCATCAGCTTTCTACAACTAGTTGATTACCAAACCTATGCTAAGGCCTGAAGGCATCTTTACTTGGCATCAGTTATGGGCCCCTATACTAGAGGTGAAGAAGAATGTTTTATTTCACCTTGGAATGGTGAAAGTGTCTTTTCCTAATCTGGTACATATTTCATCCAGGAAATTTAGAATATTTTTTATTTGTCATGAGGTAAGAATTTTTCCAAGGCCTGTTTGGAATATTAAAGGAAGTGAAATCCCTAGATAAGAAAGGTATCAGAAACTTCTTTTGTTTGGTTGCCTTGGATTTGGAGAAAACCGGAATTAGGAAAACACTAGAGTAGATATCCTAATACTGGAATCTACAATGTATTTGTCAGTTTTGAGTCAGGCTGTTGTCTAGAATCCTAAATTATAATGGGCTCTTCAGGGCCAATAAAATCGAATAATTTGAGAGCCAAACAGTCATGCACAATTTTTGTGTTGCCCTGAGAACATTTAGAATGACTACTGGATGACAGGTCCTGGTACGGGTAACTGACACAAGAAAGAGAAGAAAGTCCTAAACAGAAAACACCAAAGGGACAGAAAGAATCCTTAGAACAAACCAATAGCAAGGAGCATAACAATTATGGCATGTACAGATCGGTTAATAAAATTCTAAAAAGAAAATTCCCTTTGAGGACAGATCTTTTCTGTCATATACATACTGTATCCCCAATATCTAGAATAGTATGTGATACATTAAGATGAACAATAAAGTCCTACTAAGTAAACAATATCTCAGCCTGGCTTTAAGAAAGGGGACTATGAAGGAATGTGAGTAGCTTTGCATCCAAAGTCTGGAGTTAGCAAAGTCAAAAAGATGAGAGATGAGACAAATCAACAACCTGATTTGCTCTGGTACCTCATACCTTACCAGCCTGATGAACTACAATAAACTGAATTCTGAATATTTAGGCTTTTTCAGACTATTAGAGAAGCCCCATGACTGGATAATGGCTGCTGCTGAGAGTCTGCCAATACTGGATAAGAGTACTAACTTCGTCCTCAGATATTATAATATAAACGCAAGGACTCATGAACATTTTAAAATCTTGTCAAGAGCCCTGACAGAGAGGTCCCAAATGATAATCCATAAGAAACAAAACAAAACAAAATGAAATGATTAAAGCTTAAGGATTTTAAAAGCATTAAAAAAAAAGAGAGAGAGAAGACTCCAGCATTGAACAGTTGGGGAAAAGGGATGGTGATTATGGTTGCTGTGTAAGATCCTAACATAGAGCCTCATAAAAGAAATACAATGTTATTTTGAGGACCCTCATGATCAGATCAACAGTGATGTCCTTTTGTTGGTAAGGTTTGAAGTACACACCTACACATACACCTATTAACAGAGAGATGTGCTATATTATTATCCACTGGAATGAGTTCAGAAATTCAAAACAAAGGCCTACCCCTTGCCCAGATTCCATTGTCAAGAGGAGATCCAGGAATGGCAGTATAGTTGACTTAATGCAGCAAAGCAAAAAAAAAAAAAAAAAAAAAGCCCAGGAAGATATTTTTATCTTTTAATAAACAGTTTTCATTATCATCCAATGCCTACACTTCTACAAACCTGAGCTTCTCAGCCCAGCATTTATAGAAAATTGCCAAGTATAGTTTGTAGATAAAAGCACAATTCAATATTTATGAATTGCTAGTTGTTTTCTATAAATATAGACATTTGGAGATGATCTTCTCACTAGTCATTAAAATTTGAACAGGGATCAAAGCTAGAATAATATTAACAAATCCTTGCACTTGTATAGTGTTTTACATAATACTATTAATAATAGATGACATTTATTGAGCACTTAGCAAGTGCCAGGCACTTTACATGTAAATTCTCATAACGAATTCAGTTTAGTTCAACAAGCATTCAATTAATACCTACTGTGTGATAGATGAATAACACTGGTTTCTATCTTTAAAAACTCTCATTTTTGGTGCATTCAATCAATGTTTGTTGAAAGAATAAATGAATGGATGGATGAAAAATTAATTGGTTTGGATGGTACTGTGGGGTAATAAAAATAACACAGGCTCCTCTCAGTACCTATGGTATTGAGAAAGTATTTACCCTCTCCTAGCCTCAACTTTTTCATCTGTAATATAGGAATATTTAAGCTCTCCCTTGCAAACCTGTTGTGATAATAGTGACAGCAAATGTAAAATATGTAAAAAGAACAGGCTCTCAGTAAGTGAGAGCAGTTATCATCATCATCACTACCATAATTATTACTATTTTAAACAAGCCTATCAAACTCTCCTCACCCTCACTATACCAATGAACAAGTATAATTTTAACATCCACAAAGCACACAACATCTATATAAAAATGCCACAAAGAAACAATCAAAGCAAGGGAAATCTACTAAACTGTAGTTCCCAATGTTTCTACCAGGTTACTATACAACATCTCTGCTCAGGCTAGGAAACAAAAATAAAACAACATAGAATCAATTTCAGTTACATTTCCAAAGATACCATGATAAAAGGCCAACAGGACAGGAAGTTCACCAAATAACAGACTGTACCTTCCCTCATAATGGAATGCTGGTCACTCCATATGTGGAACCATGTTCCCTATTCCAACATTCTCAAAGAGCCCTACCCTCTACCTAGAACCCAGACAATAGCCATCAAGAAATTCATCTTACTCCTCTCAGTGCCAGTGAGGTTAAGCCCTAGCCATCCAGCACATTAACTTTGAGACCTGGGTCAAATTCCCAACCAGAAGTAGGCCCCGTTCTGGTCACTTACCATTTGGGTCTGCTTGTAGATTTCACCATAGGAGCCATTCCATCTCTATAAAGACTCTTGGTTTTACTGAAGTTAACAATATTGAAAATGACTCTCTGAAAAAAAAGGAAAAATTTTATCAGAAGACTATGCTATGTAAGTTGTCACTTCCTGCTAATCAGGAATGGAAATGATAAGCAAGGTTAGAGGAAGCCGTATGGACTAGTTGCCAACAGTATAGTGAGAATAAATGGTGCCCATAGAAAGTCAATGTATTTGTGCCAGCTTAGCATACTAGTCAAGAGCACAGACTCTGAAACCTGGAAGCCGGAATTTTAATCCCACTCTACCACCCTCAAGTCATGTGACCTTGCCAAGCTACTAAACCTTTCTATGTCTCCTCATTTGAAAAATGGCAATAATAACAGTACTTAGGATTACTGATGATAATTAAATAAGGTAATAAATATACAGTGTTTGGAACCATGCTTTGTACATAGTTAACGCTACATAAATTTTAGCTATTATTAACTGTGCCCTTTCTTGAGGCTGACCTAGAATTTATATGGAAATGAATAATAGTATTATTAGAGTATTACATTTGAAGTTCAGAAAAGATAATAACTGAATGCAAAATTGAAGTTTAAAAGTTCTACAACTGTTCAGCACCCCTTTCACTAGACCTGGAGGATATATGTCCTCTTCTGCACCTCCTTTTGTTATCCTCCACTGGGGGCCAGGGGTATTGAGCTCAACCCTAATCTCAGCATCAATTTATAGAAGCATAGGCACTTGGGTAAGTCCCTTCCCTGTCTGGGGTTCACGTTTAAAATGGAGGAGTGGAGTGCTCTAGATGACTAAAATCTTTCCATGACAGTAGTATAGGGAAAAGAGATCAGTCTTTGTTTTAGTAAACAGTTTTATTATTGTACGTGGAGAGGAGAGATGGGGAAAGAGAAGAGAATTGGGGTTAAAACACACTCAATGACCACTGAAATAGTCCAAAAGAGAGAGGATGAGAACCAGAGCAAAGGCAGCAAGAATAGTCAGAGAAATAGGAAAACTTTCAAAGGGTTACCATAGGCTAGTTTTTCTATCCATAGGCGGTGAAAGAGAGGGAAGCATCAAAATTCACATCTAGGGGCGCCTGGGTGGCTCAGATGGTTCAGCGTCTGCCTTCGGCTCAGGTCATGATCCCAGAGTCCTGGGATCGAGTCCCGCATGGGGCTCCCTGCTCCTTGGGAGCCTGCTTCTCCCTCTGCCTCTCTCTCGCTCTCTCTCTCTCTGTGTCTCTCATGGATAAATAAATAAAATCTTTAAAAAAAAAAATTCACATCTAATTTCATTGAGCAAATATTTATTGTGTGATGTATTATATAATATCAAGTGCCAGGAATTATATACATTTTTATAAATGCTTAAATACTCTACTATAACTATACAAAATATTACCATCTCCATTTTACAGATGTGGAAACTGAGCTCAGAGAAGTTAATTAATTTGTCCAAAGTCATGCAATGAATATATGGAGAGTTGATATTTAAATCCAGGGAACAAAAAAGATAAGTAAAACGTCCATGATCTCTACGCTTGAGTTACTCACTAAGGTTCCAGAATTTCTTAACTAAACCAAGCCTGTTTTGTAAAGTTAGGGCAAAAATAAATAAAATGGTAATTTTCTTTAACCTTTTAAAATTTTGTTTACTTAAAAGAGAAAATCAAAGCTATTTTCTCTAGCATCATATTTAGGACTAACATAAAATGCTTTGTTCTATGAAATAAGCTCTTAAGAATAACGTGTTTTCCTTTCTGCTCAGAGACCCAGTTACTGACCCCATCACCAGGCATTTCAGTTGCAGACCTCTCTTCTGTCATTAAATTAAATCATCAAGAATGTCCAAGACTGTTCAGTTATTAATAACCTAGACCCAGGGGCACCTGGGTGGCTCAGTTGTTAAGCGTCTGCCTTCGGCTCAGGTCATGATCCCAGGGTCCTGGTATTGAACCCCTCATCGGGCTCTCTGCTCAGTGGGAAGCCTGCTTCTCCCACTCTCACTCCCCCTGCTCGTGTTCCCTCTCTTGCTGTGTCTCTCTCTGTCAAATAAATAAATAAAATCTTTAAACAAGAACAACAACAAAAAAAACCCTGGACCTGCCTGTTTTCAGTTCAATTACTTATCCCAGGGTCTTGGCTGCTGTCTGATTTAAGAAAATCCGTATCAAGGGGACAAATGGCCTTTGAACCTCACAGGGCTTCATCCCCCTTTTCTGAGATTTTCCAGGTGTCAGATCTATTTCCAGTGAACCTGGAAGCCATACTGCACTTTTAGGAACTAGATTAATGCTAAATAAAAGGGAAATCTAATACAGAAATAATGTTCATATGTGTAGCTGGAATAAAGAAATGAGAAAGTGAAATATCTATTGATCATTAATATCCTACTATCCTCTGCCCAGTAAAATTTCCCAGGTCTTTTCATATACTATATTATTTCCTGACTTGCTAATTTTAGCCATGTTGACTAGTGTGAAGTGATATCTCATTGAGGTTTTGATTTGGATTTCCCTGATGCCGAGCAATGTTGAGCTTTTTCATTTGTCTTTTGGCCATTTGGATGTCTTCTTTGGAAAATGTCTGTTCATGTCTTCTGCCCATTTCTTGATTGGATCATTTGTTCTTTGGGTGTTGAGTTTGATAAGTTCTTTACAGATTTTGGATACTAGTCCTTGATCTGATATGTCATTCTGTCGGTTGTCTTTTGGTTTTGTGGACTGTTTCTTTTGCTGTGCAAAAGCTTTTTATCTGGATGAAGTCCAAATACTTCATTTTTGCCATTGCTTCCCTTGCCTTTGGCGATAATTCTAGGAAGAAGTTGCTGCAGCTGAGGTCGAAGAGGTTGCTGCCTGTGTTCTCCTTTAGGATTTTGTCTCATGTCTTTCAACCATTTTGAGTCTGTTTTTGTGTGTGGTGTAAGGAAATAGTCCAGTTTCATTCTTCTGCATGTGGCTGTCCAATTTTCCCAACACCATTTGTTGAAGAGACTGTCTTTTTGCCATTGGACATTCTTTCTTGCTTTGTCAAAGATGAGTTGACCATAGAGTTGAGGGTCCATTTCTGGGCTCTCTATTCTGTTCCATTGATCTATGTGTCTGTTTTTGTGCCAGTACCATACTGTCTTGATGATGACACCTTTGTAATAGAGCTTGAATTGCGGAATTGTGATGCCACCAGCTTTGCTTTTCTTTTTCAACATTCCTCTGGCTATTCAGGGTCTTTTCCGGTTCCATACAAACTTTAGGATTATTTGTTCCATTTCTATGAAAAAAGTTGATGGTATTTTGATAGGGATTGCATTGAATGTGTAGATTGCTCTATGTAGCATAGACATCTTCACAATATTTGTTCTTTCAATCCATGAGCATGGAACGTTTTTCCATTTCTTTGTGTCTTCCTTAATCTCTTTCATGAGTATTTTATAGTTTTCTGAGTACAGATCCTTTGCCTCTTGGGTTAGATTTATTCCTAGGTATCTTATGGTTTCGGGTGCAATTATAAATGTGATCGATTCCTTAATTTCTCTTTCTTCTGTCTTGTTGATGTATAGGAATGCCACTGATTTCTGTGCACTGATTTTATATCCTGCCACTTTACTGAATTCCTGTATGAGTTCTAGCAGTTTTGGGATGGAGTCTTTTGGGTTTTCCACATAAAGTATCATATCATCTGCAAAAAGAGAGTTTGACTACTTCTTTGACAATTTGGATGCCTTTTATTTCTTTTTGTTGTCTGATTGCTGTGGCTAGGACTTCTAGTACTATGTTGAATGGCAGTGCTGATAGTGGACATCCTGCCGTGTTCCTGACCTTAGGGGGAAAGCTCTGGGTTTTCCCCATTGAAAATGATATTCGCTGTGGGTTTTTCATAGATAGCTTTTATGATATTGACGTATGTACCCTCTATCCCTATACTCTGAAGAGTTTTGATCAAGAAAGGATGCTGTACTTTGTCAAATGCTTTTTCGGCATCTATTGAGAGGATCATATGGTTCTTGTTCTTTCTTTTATTAATGTACTGTATCATATGGATTGGTTTGCGGATGTTGAACCAACCCTGCAGCCCAGGCATAAATCCCATTTGGTTGTGGTGAATAATCCTTTTAAGGTACTGTTGTATCCTATTGGCTACTATTTTGGTGAGAATTTTTGATTCCATGTTCATCAAGGATAGTGGTCTGTAATTCTCCTTTTTGATGGGGTCTTTGTCTGGTTTTGGGATCAAGGTAATGGTAGCCTCATAAAACGAGTTTGGAAGTTTTCCTTCCATTTCTATTTTTTGGAACAGTTTCAGAAGAATAGGTATTAATTCTCCTTTAAATGTTTGGTAGAATTCCCCTGGGAAGCCATCTGGCCCTGGGCTTTTGTTTGTTGGGAGATTTCCTTAGTGGTTATAGGTCTGTTCAGTTTTCTATTTCTTCCTGGTTCAGTTTTAGTAGTTTATACATCTCTAGGAATGCATCCATTTCTTCCAAGTTATCTAATTTGCTAGCATAGAGTTGCTCATAATATGTTTTTATAATTAATTGTATTTCTTTGGTGTTGGTTGTGATCTCTCCTCTTTCATTCACGATTTTATTTATTTGGTCATTTCTCTTTTCTTTTTGATAAGTCTGGCCAGGGCGTTATCAATCTTATTAATTCTTTCAAAGACCCAGCTCCTAGTTTTGTTGATCTGTTCTACTGTTCTTTTGGTTTCTATTTCATTGATTTCTGTTCTGATCTTTATTATTTCTCTTCTCCTGCTGGGTGTATGCTTTATTTGCTGTTCTTTCTCCAGCTCCTTTAGGTGTAGGGTTAGGTTGTGTATTTGAGACCTTTCTTCTTTCTTGAGAAAGGCTTGTATTTCTATATACTTTCCTCTTAGGACCGTCTTTGCTGCATCCCAAAGATTTTGAATAGTTGTGTTTTCATTTTCACTGGATTCCATGAATTTTTTAATTCTTCTTTAATTTCCTGGTTGACCCATTCATTCTTTAGCAGAATGGTCTTTAGCCTCCATGTATTTGAGTTCTTTCTGACTTTCCTCTTGTGACTGAGTTCTAGTTTCAAAGCATTGTG